GAGAGAGAGAGAGAGAGAGAGAGAGAGAGAGAGAGAGAAGGAAGCTAATGTACCATATGGGTTTTTTAGCTTTGGATTCAGAGTTGCAAACATGAGGGAGAGCAGCATATAAGGAACAGTTGCTGGAATTGGGTATGTCTAGTCCAGGGGTAGGCAACCTTGGCTCTTTTATGACTCATGGACTTCAACTCCCAGAATCCCTGAGCCAGCCATGCTGAGGGGAAAGGGAGAGGTTTCCAAGCTGAGCCATGCTGGCTCAGGAATTCTGGGAGTTGAAGTCCACGAGTCATAAAAGAGCCAAGGTTGCCTACCCCTGGCCTAGTCTAATGCAGAGAAGGACTAGGGGTGACATGATAGTAGTCTTCCAATATTTGAGGGGCTGTCACAGGGAAGAGGGGGTCAAGATGATTAGGGGACTGGAGGCTAAAACATATAAGGAACGGTTGCTGGAATTGGGTATGTCTAGTTTAACAAAGAGAAGGACGAGGGGGGACATGATAGCAGTGTTCCAATATCTCAGTGGCTGCCACAAAGAGGAGGGAGTCAAGCTATTTTCCAAAGCGCCTGAAGGCAGGACAAGAAGCAACGGATGGAAACTAATCAAAGAGAGAAGCAACCTAGAACTAAGGAGAAACTTCCTGACAGTTAGAACAATTAACCAGTGGAACTACCTGCCTCCAGAAGTGGTCAATGCACCAACACTGGAAGTTTTAAAGAAGAAACTGGACAGCCATTTGTCCAAAATGGTATAGGGTTTCCTGCCTGAGCAGGGGGTTGGACTAGATGACCTCCAAGGTCCCTTCCAACTTTATCATTATCATTATTATAACCTATTCTCCAAAGCACCTGAGGGCAGGACAAGAATAACAAGTGGAAGATCATTAAAGAGAGATCTAACCTAGAATGAAGGAGAAATTTCCTGACAGTGAGAACAATTAATTAGTGGAACGAGTTGCCTCCAGAAATCTGATGCATGCTGGCTGAGGAATTCTGGGAGTTGAAGTCCACAAGTCATAAAAGGGCCAAGTTTGAAGACCCCTGTTATAGACAATCCCAAGAAAAGTAGTTTTAACCTTCCTATGGAGCTGATTTCCTGAACTGGTCTACCTCGTGGGGATGACAAAACCTCATTCAGCCCAAATTTGCTGCAAATATCAATCAGTGCTTCAGGTTTGTGAGGGAGTAATTTGTCTATGATTTGATGGAAGGGTTGCTCTCCATGGTACTGAACCCAAGTCCTCTCATCTGCTACTTGGACTTTCTACCAGTGCTGCTCCACTTGGCTACCTCTTGGCTGAACCAACCTGTTTGTATTGTTGATTGGGTATCAGCCATCAACAGGCACATAGAAATAAACCACATTGACATACCGTTCAAAAGAGACAATAAAAAACGGCAAAAAGGAAACCAGAGACCAAAATGCTTCCTCACCAGCAATCAACACCCAAGTATAGATTAATAACAAGATTAATACCCAACCCACAACCAAGAAGTAAGCAATACCTCAATCAAGGAACTACCAACTCAGAAAAACAGAGCACTCCCAACAAAACTGACAGGAAAAGCCACAAACCCTGCTCCCTTCTAGCACTGATGATGTTACCTAATGAGGTAATGAAATGTCTGCAAGAAAACAACCCAGCTCAGAGAGCACCAAAAATCGCACAGTCCCGTCTATGCTCTTACTCAGAGCACATGAGGATGTCCGAGGAAAGCCATGGCAAATCTAGACAGCATACTAAAAAGCAGAGACATCACCCTGCCAACAAAAGTACGTATAGTCAAGGCCATGGGCTTTCCCAGTTGCAATGTATGGCTGTGAAAGTTGGACCATAAGAAAGGCT